TCTGTAATCTGTCTGTCTGTATCTTGGTCTTATGTCTGTCTGTATACTGTTGTCTGTATCTGTCTTCTGTACGTCTGTCTTGCTGTATCGGTCTGATGTCTGTCTGTATCTGTCTGTCTGCTGAGTCTGTTGTCTGTCTGTATCTGTCTGTGTGATATAGTCTGTCGTATCTGTGGACTCTCGTATCTAGTCTGTCTGTATCTGTCATGTGTCTGTATCTGTAGCTTCTGTTATTGTCTGTATTTTTTAAGGGGCGGGAATTTCTAAAGACAGAGGCCCGCAACGCAGGTTGGGATTATAGCTGCTATGGCCTACACTAAAACCTCCCTTTCCTCCTATTCCTTCGCGGAACGCCGTAGGCATTGATCGCGAAAAGGAAAGGATGGTGCTTTTCGAGCATCTTCACCGAATAGTTAAGCGTGACTAGATTTTTATCGTCTGCTCCTCTGAGCGGAGCGTTCGTTACAGCTTGCTAGGACTAGTGGCTAACCGCAACTCGCCAATCTCTTGTGTCAGCAGCATCTAGGTGACTCGATGTGTCATTCACGAGAATGACAATCTCTGGGAGGGTCGTTAAGTTCTTCCCTTTCCACTGCGAATGGTGGACAAATGAAAGAACCGTGTTCTAACATCTTCCTTCACGGGAACATACGCATGGGAAAGACTAATCGTCCAAACGCGTGGAAATGAGAGCTATAAAACTCTCGCTGTCTCTTTATCTCTCGCTGTCTCTTTATCTCTCGCTGTCTCTTTATCTCTCGCTGTCTCTCTTTCTCACTGTCTCTCTCCCTCACTTTGTCTCTCTCTTTCACTGTGTGTCTCTCTCTCACTGAGTCTCTCTCTCACTGTGTCTCTCTCACTGAGTCTCTCTCTCACTGAGTCTCTCACTCACTGTGTCTCTCACTCACTGTGTCTCTTCCTCACTGTGTCTCTCACTCACTGTGTCTCTCCCTCACTGTGTCTCTCCCTCACTGTGTCTCTCCCTCACTGTGTCTCTCCCTCACTGTGTCTCTCCCCACTGTGTCTCTCCCTCACTGTGTCTCTCCCTCACTGTGTTTCTCCCTCACTGTCTCTCTCTCTCACTGTGTCTCTCTCTCACTGTCTCTCTCACTGTGTCTCTTCCTGTCCATCACACACATGAAATGGCAGATTCTGCACGTCTGAACAGCTGGGGTAATATTGAGAAGCGCCATACCAGGAAAAATACACTAGAATGTCAAAAAAATCTTCTGTAGATTACGATGTGAAAAACGTTACTTTGAGGTAACAGATAAAACGTTTTCACTGTTGGCCTCAATATTTTATTTTCTAAGCCCTAGTACACTTCGTTTAGAAATTGTTTAATGATAATAAAAAACCTGCCGTCTGTTGGGGGTTGCATTTACATGAACATTTAGGGGTTTTTTCTTTCTTCGTGAAATTTCCGATATTTTAATAGATATTCTGCTATTAGAGATAGAGATGAAGCCAACAAATCAGAGGTGATTAAAATTAGTCATGCCATATATGTGTTATAAATAGTGTAACTCTCCCGACTTTATTTTATTTATTTACACTTCTTTGATCGTTTCTTAGAATCCACCGTTGTTATACATTAATATTTCAGAAAGTATTTAAAAACCTTTTGAAATACTGCTAGCTTTCAGGGAATATCAGATTGGAATGATACTATGTCTCGGGAGCTCTTTCGTGAATTACGTCTTATTATTGGAACATTTATCAGTATGAAAAGCACTTACAATTGTCAAATTTGTATTACTATTTGCTTGAAAATATATGGTTTTTGCTCCAAATGTACAAGCAGGGTTTAACTGAATTTCAATACATGTATTTGAAATACACATGTTAAAAACATTGACATGTTCATCCAAGCCAGTTGAATAAATGTTTTCCTTTGCAGGTTTTATACATTCGCCAACTAGGGACGTTTTCTTTGTATTCTAATGAAAAATAATCAGGATATTTTGAACGCTAGGACCAAAACTACAACAATATGGAATATCGTAAAAAATACGACCACATCATCTCGTTATTTAGTAGAGAAAGTTGTTTTAAAGGATAATGAAAGAGAAGCAAGTATATCGGAAGAAGTGGCAAATTTCTTCAACCAACACATTTATAGAATTGCGGTTGAACTCACGAAGTGACTAAAACCACAAAATTCAACATCATTACCTTCCAAAATTATTTTCGACATGATGTTTATTTCCAAAACATCTAACGAAATCCTGAGTATAGTCAGTAAATTAAAAAATAAATATTCATGTGGTTTAGATGAATTTCTGGATTGTTGATTGAAAACTTGTGTACTAGCCTTTATACACCCGTTAACAGACATTTAAATGCTTCTTTATGCACAGGAATATTTCCAGATATTTTAAAAACAGCAAATATTAAGCCACTTTAAAAAGGGAACAAAAATGATATTCAAAATTATCA